GAACTGACATTTTGGAGAAGCACCGGCTCTAACTCGATAGGCATCGACATCCTTTTCTCACGGCGGTGAAGCTTCAGGTGAGAACCTTACTTTGATACCACTTGAAAGGACCTAGGATGCCGCCTAGAGGGGGGGGGGTGAATAGGCATTTCTGAAAATTATCACCTTTAAATGTGGAAACGATTTAGTAATGAGAGTTTCCGAATGGAAACTCCAAATCAAAGTAATATAACCCCTCACAAGTTAGCCACAGAGTATATAAAAGATACTAAATAAGTTTATGGAGCCAAACACTTGCAACCAAAGAGTTAAATCAAAATGCAATTAAGTTTGGCACAGGAATTAATACCGGGCATGTCCGGTAGGTATACACGATTTTAGTGTAACAGCCCCAAACTTGCTCCTTTCGATTTCTATCTTCAAACCAAACTGCAGATACCTACTAGAGATGACAAGATACACAGAGAATCTGCATAAGAGCTAGAGTAACACAAATATCAAATGAAATGCGAATTGAGACATGATATTTGTTTTACCGAAGTTCGGACTCGTTCGAGTCCTACTCTCCGTTGAGGGGGTTGCGGGCGACCCAGCGAAGGTCAGCCCTAGAGGGTACCACGAAGGTCACTCTCGAAGCCGAAACTCCTGACCAACACAAGTCGGAACTCCCGACCCTCGACTCGTTTGAAAACTAGCCGCTGGGCTCTGGCCACTATACCGGACACGTCCGGTATCATACCGAACACGTCCGATGTGACTAGACAGTCAACTCTCCAAGTCAGTTAAGCGCGAGACGTCGGAACTCCCGACCGTCGGAACTCCCGACGAACCATGTTAGAGAAACACCTAAGTGACCCTACCATACCGGACCCGTCCACAGAACAACGTTAGTTTCTCTCTTCTCTTTTTTACTCAAACCTCACATAGGTTGGCTTGAACACTTATGAATAATCATCTATCAACATGATGCATCCCTCTTAATAGTACGACATTCCTATTAACTAAAAATCAAATGTATAACGAATTTAAACCTTTTGAGTTGATCTCTTTCAACCGAAGCCGTGTCTTTCAATCTTCATCAAGTGAGGGTGCCAACATGTCGATATTGATCTTTTTACTTGAGCATAGCCATCTTGAGCACGTGACTTGATTCCATTCATCAAATATGAATAATCCCAAATGTATCAAGTCACTTCCATCAAACACTCCAATAGTGATTTGATCCTCCACATCAACATGACCACCATACCTTGATTAGTACCTCAACTAAATGCAAGTACTTCCTTCTTCACCCTAGCTAGGTTCTTTGGCCGCCAAGTAGTCGCTTGCCCTTCATCCTTGCTTAGTACCTCAAAACCTTTCCTTGCTATCTTCACCATCTCAAGCCATCAAGTCACATCTTGTGTTGAATCATTCATTCATTTGTATTGTTACTTTTTTCATTTCAATTTAGCAAGCTTCAAATATGGGACCATTCCATATGCAATCCCTCATGTCTCATTAATTAATTCTTACCGTGCTTGCTTTCACATAGTACATGGAAATCCCATAATAAATAAGCCTTTGCATAAATTCCATTTGCATTGTTGTCTTGTGCTTGAACTAGATTGTTTATACAACAACACATCATTTTGGCTTCATTAAGCATATGTGACATAACTTATTACCAGTCCACACTTAGCAAACGGGTTAGACCTTTAATCACGTTGTCATTCAATCATCCAGAACCCACTAAAGGGCTAGATGCACTTTCAGTCCCCGTCATCCTCTACAGGCCCGGTGGGACCCGCGTAAAGGAGACGAAGGACGCCGTGACCCCGGAGGCCTTCTTCCTCGCTTTGCTCTCTCTCTCTCTTTCTCTCGTGTAACCTGCGCCTTCCCGTTCATCTATAAAAGGGGAAGCAGGACGCTCCACTAAAGGCACGGCAAAGCGGCCTAAGGGCTCAAAGGCTCAATGAGTTCGACTAGACTCAACTCCATTTGTAACACCTACTACAAACAAGTGCCGGTACACACGAGCAGCCTCAAACTGGACGTAGGGACATTCCGCCCGAACCTGTATAAACCCTTGTGTCCTCCGAGCACACCATTCGGACCAGACGCGCAAACACAAATTTACTAGTCGGCGGTTCGAAACACCAACACATCTACTCCCCCCTCTAGTATGTATCCTTAATCTTGCACCAATATATGCATTAGTGCACAAGTGAAATAGACAATTTCAAAAGGCTTCTTAATATTTTTCTTCAAAGCATGCTTTATTACATGTGTTCCAAATTGCCCAACGTAACATAGGGCAGCAATTCCAAATGTATGATTTTTTTCTTTCCGTTTGGCAACCACTTCTTTACACATGCCGAGGATTGAGTTAGATTCTTAGGAATGTTATTAGAAAACAGATAGCTACAACAGCCTAAACCACTTGGGCAACATGACATTTAAAGAACATATGAATTATGGTCTCATCCTGTCAGTGATCACAAAAGTAACAAAGATAAACCACCAACCCATTTTTAGTTAATCACATTATCATTGATTAGGACCCCATTATTTTCCATGAGCCAAAAAAGATTGGAAAATAATTATGTTTATACTTGAATGATTCTGCTTTAATAGGGAAGCGACTTGTCTGACAATTAAATAATATAGCATAGGCTCAACATGTCTCGATCACCATTGATAGCAAGAAGTTCATTTTGTTAAAATTGATCTTGAATTCGGACATCAACTCATACAAATAAAATAATAATAACTTAAGATTCTTGGCATTTTCCAAATTAGGCACACCCAACTACTTGATAGGCAAATGACTTATTTGCCAATTAAATAATTCATCATACGCTTTACATATCTCCTTATCTCTATTGATAGCAAGAACTTCACTTTTGTGAAAATTGATCCTGAAATCAAATATCATCTCATACATTTGTCAGAAAACAAATAAAATAACAACTTAAGATTCCTTGCATTTTCCAAATCATGCTTTAGACATAAAACCGTGTCATATGCGTGTTGCATCACGGCAACTCCTTTTGGAACGACGATATGGTAATTAGAAAAAAATAGTGGACTTTCTCTTTCGAAAAGAAATATGCAATGAAAAATGCATGCATGAGTTGAGGGTTCTATTTCTGTATTGCAACAAGGAGAAAAAAAATATTCTGGTAAAGAAGTGTCAGTGCTAAAATAAAAAAGCATGTGGAAAAATACCAAAAACATTACACGCTATAGGGGGTGATTTGGGGAGTTCTATTTTTCTATTCTAAAAGTAGCAACAACTATTCTGATAAAGTTATCTCAATGCTAAGCTCTTCTATTGTAACGAAGAGCATCTAATAAAGATATTTTAATTGTTATTCGATGAGTTAAAATTATTTTGATAAAAACATTTTAGTGCATGATTTAGGGATTTCTTTTGGTTAAGATATTTCAATGTCAAAACAGTGAAAAATAGGATAAGAAGGAGCAAAGTAAAAAATTTTAATGCATGATTTAGGGATTTCAAAAAATATTCTGATTAAAATATGGGGAAAAAAATGAAAAATAGAAACATTACGCTAGAAGGAGGGCTTGAACCTCCGACCTTGTGGTTAACAGCCACACGCTCTAACCAACTGAGCTATTCCAGCAACTGATGTTCTACAGTCTCCTCGGCTCGTCAAATCCAACGTTGCCAGCAGATGCCAAAATGAACTGGGTCCACTTCTCTAACCCAGCAGCCAGCCCTAGGAAAAATAAACGAGAGCTCAGTCCCACCTCGTGCTCACCTCCCCTCCCCGTCCCCGTCCCGTCCCCACCCCACGCCGGCCGTGCCGCTTCCGCCCGCCCGCCCCTCCTTACCACCCGCCGCCGGAGCGAAGGTCGCCGCGCCGACCGCCAAATCCTCATCCCCCTCCCTCTCGTCCCCATCCACCGGCTGGGCTGGTGCGGAGCGGACGGACGGAGATCCGCGCGCCTCGGTCCCCGCTGCGCCGTCGCTACGCCGGCTGAAGGTCAGTTCCCTCTCCTCCCCCACCGCGGCCCGGGTCTCCCGCCGCCAAAGACCCACCGCCGCCGCCGCGTGGTCTGTTGCGTACTCGCTAGCTGCAGCTTGCTTCCCGGGGTTAGTTTTTTTTTTGAGATGGATTTGATGCGCTGCTACATTTCGTAGCTTGATGCTCACAGGTGCCCTGTATGATTTGGGCTAAAAAGAGCACCTTTGTTTCTCATTTGTTTTTGCCTTTTCTTTTGTATATATTGGAATCACCTTTACGAATTCACTGCCGCCCCCCATTTCCTACAAGGACAGATGCGAAGAACCGTATGAAAGGAGTTAAATTTTACAGTATCAATTACCGTATATATCACTGGGAGTTTTTAGGTCTTTTATTTAATGATGATTTAATCCACTACGAAGTACGAACTGGCCAGTGTGCCACTGGGTCTGCCATGGGCCCCACTCTTCAAATTCTCTGGGCTGGTATGCATACCCTTTGGATGGAAGTGATTTGAGTGTGGACAACCAGTTCATGCAAATTTCCTGCATTTCTCATTTAGCTGAGGAGCACTGCTCATGCAGAGCTTGTTCATGCAAGTTTCCTTGGAAATGCTTGTTGCCTAATACAATATAACTCTGAATTCAAGCTTGTAATTCTTTTCTAGGTAGTTAAAACTCCCCATTTTTTTTGTATATATAGGGTATGGAGGCTGAGTGATAAAAAAAGTTAATTTCACTGTGCTATTAAAGATATTATTATTGAACTGGGCTTCGTCAACATACACTAGGAAATGACTCAGTTCTAATAGATAATTTTCAAATATCATATATACATATTGCCTGATGTGCCAACTGCCAAATGATTCATCTGCAAGCCAGGATGTTATTTTCCCACTTCTTGACTACTGTACAAAATAGAAATATTTGTTCTAACTTCTAAAAGATCAGAATAAGTAGGATTTTCACCATAGGATTCCCATGGTCTTGCTGGATCACAAGAGTTTCCCTGTTGTTTTCGGTTCAGATGATAGACATGGTGTCTGCCGTTGAAGAGCTTAGTGGGTTAACCTCTAAAGAACTTGGGGAGATGCTGAAGGAGTCAGACAACTTTGTTTTGCAGTCCAAGACAGAAGACGGAGGTCCAAAGCAGGTACTTGTATGTACAAAATGTTTGCATATGTTGCAAACTTGCAATGCCCGATTCCCTGACACCTGTTCTTTGTTGTAGGTGGACATGGAAAAACTTGTGTCCTCGCTTCCTCTTCATCTCCTTGCTGTATGTTTGGAGCTTGGGCAAGGCCCGGACTTGACTTATGTGCTTCGTGGCATGCGCTTTTTGCATAGTTTGTCTGATCTAGCATCCCGCCATACTAGACTGGAGCAGGTTACTCCTTTTACTATTTCGTATACAAGTTTAACATATGAAACCATTCTTATGTTTCTTATGGGTTATGATATGGTTTGAGGATTTTAATATTCCATGTTAAAAGCTAGCCTGTGAATCACATCACATGCATATGATGCTTGGATAATTCAAGTTATTTACTCTGAGGCCCTATGGAATGTAATGAAGCTCCTTTGTTGTCATTAAACTGATAGACTTTGTCCAACCGAGCTCAATCTGTTTAATATTTGGATTTTATCTTCTGGTTGATTTAATTTAGCTAAATGATGGGCACCTAGCTCACAGCAATATTTCCTTGCAGGTTCTTCTTGATGATGTCAAATTATCCGAACAAGTCATGGACCTGATATTCTTCCTACTTTCTATTCTTGCTGAACAGAAGAAGGTTTCAATGGGTTAAACCAAAATGCTTTTATTCATTCATGTGTGCTCCACTTTGAATTATCATCTGATACTAATTCTGGTAACAGCTGTTGTTTTTAAATTAGGAGAATAATGTCGGCGCTTCTCCGCTTGTGCATGCGTCACTTGTAGCAGCTAGTCTTCATCTGTTGACAAGTTACTTCTCTTCCCAGTGGCATGAACTTGTCCATATTCTGCTTGCACATCCAAAGGTAACATGTGGGATTATCATAGGATCACTCTTCAATTTCTTGTGATATGTTAATTTTATATCTGAAACATAACTTATGAATTTTGCCATCTACCTTATTTCTTAAGCAAAAGACCCCATGTTGTCTTTGCTTTTATTTTGGTTCCTTATCTGCTAAATTTCGTTCACTACATCTTTGCTAACAGCTTCTCCACACTAATCTCATTGTAACAAAGGTTGATTCTTGGATTTATCCTCTCCATGAAATATAGTCATGTAGCATGATTTTGAGTGTTAACCTTGCTCTTGATGTTTTATTCCAGAGTTATTTTAGCTATCCTTGTGTGGCATTTTGTGCTTGAATTACATAGCAATCAATGTTATCAAGTCGTCTGACTAATCACGATTAGTCGTCGGGCTGATCGGTGCCATGGCGATCAGTTATGCACTACGATTAGTCATGATTACTCGTGATTAGTCACGATTTGTCGGGCTGATCGCTGCAATGGCGACTAGGATCGGTTAGACGTTTTGATAACATTGATAGCAATCACTGCAAGCTGCCATGTCAATTATTAATCCAAACTTGCTGTAAAATCTTGCAGTCGACATGAGGCTAGTTTTCTGCATTGGAGCTATGCTGCTTGAATTTTGTACACATACGTACATGCCTTCATAATTTTCACGTTAACATTGCTGTTAAAACTCAGTTTGTTTATCTAGGTTATATAAGTACAATAGATCCCTTGGTGTTCTTACTGTCATATAAGCATGATTTTTGAGGTGTCGCCTAGGTGTCTAGGCATGCCCCCCAATGCCACAGGGCACCACAGTAACACCTTGTTGCCTAGATGTACAGGCGTGCCCCCAATGCCTCAAAGGCTATGCTTATAAGAGACGTAGTTTATGCTAATGTTTTGCTGACTATTGCCCAGTTTATGTTCTGTGTGTTATATGATGCTATGATTCAAGTTTTTTCATGTGTATATTTTTGTTATCCTGTGATTTGGGTTTTTATACGTGTATGTTTGGAAAAATTCTATCTGAGCACTTGTTTCTCTTTTTGATACCCCGTTGTGCACATACTGATTCATAATGCTATTCTTTCAATATATATGCTATTCAGCAATATGTATCTGCTTAGGAACACTTATAATTCAATCATTGGTGCACATACTAACATTTAATGATTCATGATCAGGTTGATATCTTTATGGATGTGGCCTTTGATAGTTTGCATGAAGATGTGAGGCTGTTAAATATCAGATTATCATCAATGGGCTCCGGTTCCTTTCATGTTGGTTCTTTGGAATCTCGTCGTGCTCACTTCATCTGCCAACAGTGTGAAGCATCACTGCAATTTCTCTTGTTGTTGTGCCAGCAAAAGCTGTTTCGAGATCGGATTTTAAAAAATAAGGTCTCACCTATCTTTAGAGGCATATAATTTTTTATGCTATTGAGGGGGAAAAAGAATACTTGGAGTGACTGCCTTTTCTTCTCCATTTTGACTTTGTAAGAGATTAGTAGTTGTGCTATACCATTTGATGACAAAAATAGAAGTTATCATGTTGACTATGATTTCCCTCCACTGGTTCACATGGTTCATCTTACTTCTAGTCTTTCTTGTGCTTGGAACTTTATTAAATTATCAAAAATAGAAGTTATCATGTTGACTATGATTTCCCCCCCACTGTAGTTCACATGGTTCATCTTCTACTCTTTTCTGTGCTTGGAACCTTATTAAATTGAATACTGTGTGAAACCTTATGTACTAGTTTTGGGTGAAGTTACATTTTTGGCCAAATCTCTAATGGGCTACTACACAGTTATTAAATATAATGCTCTTGGAAGCTTGCATGTTAAGGAACTTCTCGCTTAATGCAGGAACTCTCTAGAAATGGAGGCATACTGTCACTTTCTCACACTATACTGAAGTTAGTTGTCCCTGAATGTTTGAAGCAATCAACCGATCTTGTTGCTTCTATTTCCAGGCTCAAGGCAAAGATACTTTCTATTGTAAGTTAACTGCACATGATTTACCAGAATTGGAGCGTAGTAGTGCAAAAACCTATATTAAGTGACTGATTAAATTGTTGATATATTCAATTTCCCAGCTGTTGCAACTTTGTGAGGCTGAAAGTGTCTCTTACCTCGATGAAGTTGCCACTAACCCAAACAGCAGGCGGCTAGGGCAAACCTTGGCTCTAAAGGTCAGTTCTACTGGGGCTGACCACTGCCCAGGAATATATTCCTCTGTATCTGCTGCTACTTAAAAAAATATTCGCTTTCTCCAAATTTTGATTTTGCTCAGTTACTGCAGGTTCTTAATTTGCTGAAGATTGCATTTGGAAGAAAACAAAACATAACTTCTGATTCTCATGATAAGGGTAAGATTTACCCCATGGGATCTGTGCTTATCAGTGCATTGCGTCTTGTTGATGTCTTCTCTGATGATTCAAACTTCAGATCTTCCTTTATGACTAACACTGTAAGATTTTTTGCTTAACTACTTGCGTTAACAATTATATCTTGCATTTCCTTAGCAACTGGATGTGTTTTTAAGCCAGGATAATGTATTGCTTCAATTTCTTTGTTCATAAATTTGCAGGTCCCGTTTTTAACCCAGATTTTAGCAACTCCTCATGAGGAATTTGTTTCAAGTTGGTGCTCTGTCAACGTACCAGCAATTGAGGAAGATGCAAGTCTAGATTATGATCCTTTTGGTGCATCTGAGGTGGCACTGTTAGCTTCTGATAATGTGTTGACTGAAGCTAAAGCTAACTATTCATGCCCTTTTCGCCCTAGCCTGCCTTCAATGGCATATGCACAGACAAGAACATCATGTGTAGTGAAAATAATAGCGAATTTGCATATTTTTGTTCCAAACATTTGTGAAGGTTAGACTATTCCTACATGTTATGAGTTTTAATTATTCGCAACACATTCTTTAAAATAAGTTCTGTTTGTTCTGTCAACAGAGCAAGAAAGGGATCTTTTCCTTCTGAACTTTCAAAAGTACTTGGTGTCTGGGAGTCCTAAACTATCAGCAGACGAGCCAGCTTCTAGTGATTTCAAGGCCACTAAAGTCTGTAGAAACTTAGGTAAAGTTAGTTTTGCTGTTTCTAGTTATCTGTTGGTTAATATATCCATTATGTGGCATGTCTAACTCTTCTGTGGGTTTTGTAGGATCTTTGTCTGATTATGCTAAAACATTGGTTCCGAATTTGTTAAATGTGGAAGACGTGGTGTTATTAAGGTGCTTAGAACCATTTTACTGTATTTTATATTGTATCCTGGTTTTCCCAAATGATGATTAAGTACTTTTTTGGTTACATGCCTGAACTTATTGGTTTTGATTATACTTTATTGTGTACTCCTTGATAATTTACTGCTCTGAATGCCTTGATAATATTTCTAAGCTTTTGGTTACCTTTTGGCAGTGATTTTTCTGATAAGCTACAATCTTGGTGTAAATCACAAGTTGAGCAAGTTGCAGTAAAGGTTTGTTTTCTGTACTCATTGTTATCATAATGACCTATCAATAGTACTGAAGTGTTAATTTTGTTGGCACAGAAATCTCATCTTTATCATAATAACACAACTGCAGAGCGTGCACACTAAATAGAGGAATTTGCACATAATCTGCTCAGTACAAATTTTATTAGCCATAAAAAACATTAAGCTCTCTTTACTTGTGTGGCTGTTGATGCTTGAATACTTGCATTGGGTGTTCAGTTTGCCTTTGCAGCAGTTTGCTTCAAATCCTTTTTCCAGTCTCTTTCAATTGTTGGATGGCCTCATTATGGAATGTTTCAGGTGGGACAAAATGATACTCCACCAGAAAGCACGGAGGACATTCACCCAGTGCAGCAGCCCTTGCTAACACGGACAAGCACTCCGGACTCCAAAATGAATAACCTTCCAAAGGTAAATACTTAGATGAGTGGGTCAATGAAACATCACTGGTGATTGGGTCCACAGTGAATTGGATTCTAATCGGAAGCTGATGACAACAGGATGTGCAGAACATGGAAGTGTCTACACCAATACCCCCAATAAATCCAGAGGGAAATGACAAGGACGGGACTCCAAAGAACACTGTCTCTAGAAATGGTGGTTTCCTGCAGAATGCAGTTGGTCAAAACCTAGTCCATCTTGGCGTTGCAAGAACAGTCAGCGGTGGCTCTTCGGTTGTCGCTTCCGGTGTTAGCACTGGACACCAGCGCAGCAAAATGGATCTTGATCCAGCATCCAGCAGTGTGGATAATTTCAAAACACCAGAACTCACAAAAGAAAATGGTCTCCAGGAGGATGAGAAAGGAGAGAGTAGTATGTATGATGAGAGGCAACCTAAGAGAAGGAAGCGGACCCTTATGAATAATGAGCAAATAGATGAATTAGAGAAGGCTCTAGTAGATGAGCCTGAGATGCACAAGAACGCTGTTCTATTGCAGAGTTGGTCAGAGAAGTTAAGTCTGCAGGTATTTTTCACTTGGGCATTCTCTTCTTACGTCAAATTACTGAATGCATTCTCATTTATGAAAAACACGGCCGTGCTTTTGTAGGGCCCAGAGATCACAGCATCACAACTTAAAAACTGGTAAAACTGTGAATCTTCTTTAGCTGTCCTTTGAAGTTTCTTTCTTCAAATTTATAATACCATTTTTGTGCTTTTCATCTACAGCTATTTGTAACAGTTTTCTCATGCAAATTCCAGGTTGAACAATCGGAAAGCTAAGCTTGCTCGCATTGCAAAAGAAAGAGGACCATTTGAGGGGGAGAATGCTGATAAGCCATCTACACCAGCCACTATCCATCTTGGCGAGTCTTCCGAGAGTGCTGGGGAGGACAACTACCTACCCCCTGCGAGGGTGATGAACGCTCTATCCAAAGGCAGACTGGTGAGCCCGGACAGCAATGAGCAAACATCGCAGTTAGAGTTATCCCCGAACACGATGCTGATCCGCCCATTCACGAGATCCTTCTCACTGGAGCCTGGCCGCCTCGTCTCGCTAGTTGACAGCGACGGGAAGGAGGTTGGCAGGGGCAAGGTCTTCCAAACGCCAGGGAAGAGCCCGGCGGAGAGCCGCGTCTGCATGGTCGACGTCACTGAGCTCAGGACCGAGAAGTGGAGGGAGCTCCCACACCCTTCTCAGGCATCTGGGAGGACGTTCCAGGAGGCAGAGGCGAGGAATGGTGGCATCATGAGGGTCTCTTGGGACGTCGTCAGGCTGTCGCCTGCAGTGTAGCAAGGCAGAAACTCTTTGTCAGGTGTTGTATACTGTGAGGCACAAGATGAGTAGTAGAGGGGCCTTTGGTTTAGGACGAGACCGGATTATGGGATTTTCGGGGGCAGTTGTTAGGGCATGCCTAAGTAAACATTATGTTTAAATCTGTGGCTAACTGTGATGTATCCATCAACGAATTGTCTCAAGCAATGCAGGTGGTTACTAACTTTACTACCGGTTACTGCCACCTGCAGCGAGACATGTGAATCTGGCGCTTTTTTATTTTTTATTTTTACGGACACTGCTGACTGTTGGAGTAGAACCTTTTGTCTCTTCAGTCAAGGCGAAAAACAGTGGAGGGGCGATGCAGCATTTTTCATGTCCAGAACGTGAAGAACCGCGTGGTGCGTGCTCAATTGAACCCAGTGAACAAAATACTAGTAGGCTGTTGTTGCAAGCAAGAGCAGCTTTGGTTATCAGTTGAAACATTTTATCGAACGAAGAAGAATTGGTACACTAATCGGAAAACCGAGGAAGAAGATGGAAGGAAGGTGGTCGCGACGCGGCCTTAACGCGCGTGCCGCGCGTTTTCAATTAAAAGCATTCTTGGGCGCCTTAACGCGTGCCGTGCGCGGGAACTTCTGGCCACTGACATGTTGGCCCAAAGGAGCTGTGGGTCCCAGCACCAGTGAGACAAACGAAAGTCTCAGCTGTCATCTTTACAATGCATCCTAAATCCTAATCTAGTACGAGAGCCCTGAGATCCCCTCCATCGTGCTCATCATCCAAATCAGATCTCCATCACTCCAATTCGGTCTCCGGGACGGCCCTCCGGTGGCGAGGTTGGTTCAGCATCCTCCACCTCCACCTCCACCCCAGGTTTGACACCCCCAAGCCCAACCCCCTACACACACCCAAACAAAGCTTCTTCCCTATTATTCTTGCATTGCTAGACTCACCGCAAGGTTCTATCTAGTGCTTTGGTAGCGGCCAGTCCATGTTCTTGTGGCAACTCATCTTTCCAGGCCTGAGACTGTCTCCAACGATGAAACACAACACCTTGTGTCATGCACAGGAAAAGGATCCACCCCCGAAATTTAGCTTCTCCATGAGCCAACGCAAATCACTCCCCCGTCAACACCGGTAAAAATATCTCCTCATCTCATCTCCTCTCCTCTCTCTCTCCCCTCGTCACTTCTCTTCCCCTCCCTCCCTCTTCCTCCCGATCTCCCGAAACGGACAGGGCGGCGGCGCGAGCGCACCTCGGCGGTGCCCGGACCTCGGCGCGGCGACGGCCGCCCTCGCAGGTGGCCCCTCCCCCTCCGCCTCCTTCCTCCCTCTCTCTCTGCTGTGTTCTTCGTTCCCGTTTCTTTCCCCTTCTTGATTCGTGCTCGATTTGAGTTTTGCTGTGAGATTTGTTTAGTCAGATTGATGCTTTGACGAGTGTTGAACAATCCTACCAAGTGGTTTGAATCAATTCCACTCGTGCATCAAGATCCAAGCCGATCTTCATTTTGGGGGAAAACTCGTTCTTGCTCGAATTTCTTCGATTTACAGAGTTACAGTTTAAATTGAGCAATGATCTCCTAGGAGTAGCTTTTTATCTTCATTGCGAATCGCTGTGCAAAGTTTGGGAGCGATCCATGAAGATTTGAGTCGGATTTCATCGATTTTCTTGGCCGCTCCTTTTCTGTTCTTCGCGTGCGAGCTCTCTGTTCGTCGTGTGCTAGTTGATTTGGCTCCTGGCCGAGCACACCAGCAGCGCCCAGCGCTGATTGGCTCCAGGCCCAGCATGTCGACGGCGCAAGGATTTGGGTCGAGGAGAGAGACGACGGAAAGAGGATGCATATCTGGGTTCCTTCTCTCCTTCTACCTAAAATAGGTGTTCCCTTTGGCTATTCTGTTGGATGGCGTTTTTTTACTGTGCAGAACGCAAAATGGGTTTGGGTAGCGGTATGCATGGCTTGTAGGAGACAGTCTGAAGGTCTCCCAATGCAACGGGCTATTCTTTGCAATAACCCTTTTCATCCGGAGGATGTTTAATTGCCTGGAGTTTTAGCCATTAGCGGACCCAGAACTTCTTATGAGCCCGGGCAATGTAATGGCAAAGTGAGAAATTAAGTCTAATATCAAAAATATATATATAGACTAAAATAATTTTGCACACTAGAATATACGTGGACGAGCCTGGGCGGCGGCTCAGGGTCACCAGGCCCTGGGTCCGCCAGTGGTTTTAGCATCGTGCTTGTTCAACAGCCTTTCGATATTGGGCCGTTTTTCATTTATGTGCATCCATGACCATGATCCATGCGGCCTAAGTTTGTATTCTTTTAGATAAAAAAAAGTGCGATGGCTCACATGGACGTACATATTACCGCTAGTGTTTTTTTCTTGTTTTTTTTAAAGGAAAACGGAGGGGAAGAGGTCCCTCCTAAATCCTAATAAATTGCATTGGAGATACTGTGTAGACTGCCACTCAAAAGGATAGTGTTACACAATCCATCCGTCCCAAAATAAATCAATTCCTAGAATCTGTGCAAGTCAAACTATCTTAAGTTTGACTAACTTTATACAGAAGATTAACGGCATCTATAACATAAATAAGAACATTATAAAAACATATTCTATGATATATCTAATGATATTAATTTGATGTCATAAATCTTGACGATTTTTTTTCGAGAAATTCGGTCAAAGTTTAAAATATTTGACTTAAGACAACTCTAGGAATCTATTTATTCTGGGACAATGTTTAAAAAGTATTCATACTAGTTTCTTCACTAACCTTTCTTACTCATCACCGGTTGTTTACTCAAAACATTGATAGCACAGGTTGCATTGGATTGGAGTATCTTTTAGTCCAAACATTGTTGGTTGTTTTAAAGTTCATTGGAAAATTGAGTAGTCCATTTCCTGTATATGGTACTTCCACCATTTCAAATTACAAGACATTTTAACTTTTCTAGGTACATATCTTTTACTGTGCATTTAGACAATCACTATAATTTGGAGCTGAGGGGGTATATTATAATTTGAAAAAGTTAAGCTTCTTGGACTTTGACTAACAATTAGTTAAATTACATGCAAGCTTATATTGCACAGATTTGCATTTCAAACACCTTTGAGGTTTGATATGAAATGATTTTTTTTTTTTGTCAACTGGCGATACTGTATTGTGAGAGAAATTGATGTCCGAAACATCCTGGTAAAGACCTTTTTAAATCCTCACACATTCGAGGGAGTACTAAGCAACCTTTTCAGAAGGAGTTCCTTGGTGCACCGGTTAGACTGAAAACAAACTAGTAGTAAAGCTTGCAATTTTTCATAAAGCGTCATGACAAATATTGTTCTTTCATTTCACTTAAAGCCACTCCAGCAATTTTACTTTTATAAAATGCCCTTGCAAAGGAAAATGGCAAGCATATGGAATATTTACTGTATTTCAGTTTTTTCATATTCTCTTTTTCTCTCTCATGAAGAACATCTTTTAATTTCATCCCTTGGCAGATGCATTGTTTGACCCATGCCCCTTCACAAGTAAACTTCTAAGATGGATGGTGCATATAATAGAAATGATGCCATAGAGATCGTATTGAATGATCCAAGTGCAAAACCATGTGATCTATCATTAGACTATTTGAGATATATCACGAACGGCTTCTCTAGTGAGCGGGAACTCGGAAGAGGTGGTTTTGGTGTGGTATATAAGGTATGATAATCCGTTCTTAATATTTGAAACTTAATTTAACCTGGTTCTCCAAAACTCGATTTTATATTTATAGGCGATTTTGGACAGGGAGTACTACGAAATGGAGCAATGGTTGCTGTGAAGAACCTTCTGCCAACATTAGAATTTCAGGAAAAACAGTTCAAATCTGAGATTGACAATCTGATGAGAGTTAGAAACAAAAATATAGTACGGTTTGTAGGCTATTGCTATGAAACACGGTATGAATACATAGAGCACAATGGTGGACATGTTTTTGCAGCGAAGCCAAAAATGTTGCTTTGCTTTGAATATATGACTAATGGAAGCCTCTGTAAGTATATTTCAGGTATTGCGATTCGATCTTTCCCCATTTATATTTTCAAGGCACTTATATCAGGACACAAACTTTACAAAGTTCTGGCAGTGCATGTGTACAGTGTACTGCATTGATTTAACAAGGACTAAGAGGGCGTTGGGGTGAAACCTAGTAATCCTATGCAGACTTTTAGGTGGGCTAGGCAAGAGAAGGAGAAGGTAGTTGCCAACGCCTTGGTATAACCTTTTATATTAGAAGTTAGAACACTGATGTATGATGTATAATAATAACATGAAAGGAATACTATCATACCCAGTGGCGAACCAGGAACTTTAAGTAGGGGGGCCGTGCAAACACTGACTTCATGGGTCGGCATGTTGCTTGAGGGTGCATGAAGCTGGGTTAGAAGTGCACCGTGCCTGAGCAATGAGCACCTCCCGCTGCTCCACGGTGTTTTATTAACATCTAGTCGTCGTGACAGCCGAAGCCGCGCATGCGCTAATTCCATCCTTCAGTATCCGGAATGGGTAGAGGTTTGTTGTTGACTCGTCGAGACCTGAATATGGTCCCTGGGCTTTGAATGCGGAAGAAAGCTGGAGACCTGCTATTGCTAAAGTGCAGAACGATGATCTGTACTGTATGTGCTGTGTATGTGCTTTGAAGAAGACTTGCAATGGCAGGGTTCCAAATATTTTTGGCGTGTCAGGGGGGCCGTGGCCCCTGCTGGCCACCCCCTGGTTCCGCCACTGATCATACCTTATGCCTCTTAACTTTGGTCTGTTTAACCACCATGTTAGGTGATGAAGAACGAACAACTAAATCCATGTTCCATGGACCAAAAGGGTAAATGTATAAAACTGTGTACATATACAAAGAGCCCCAAGCATATGCTAGGGAATCATTACAATCTGCATCTAACTGTAAGTACATTGACAATGCATCATGTGCCTTGGTTTGCGATTAATAAAGAAATATGCAAGCTGCATATGTGATGGCACGTGTTGGAGAGATGTCACACACTTTTTTTTTTTTTTGCGAACAATATCACACACTCTTGAACTCAGGATCACAAGCAATGCTAATTGCTCCAGTGGTAGGAGACCCCAAAATCAGTGGGGAACCACCATAAACCAATGTAAGTGATCTCAGCTATCACTGTTGCCATAGCTCTCAACTCAGCCTTAGCACAATGCATGGGTTAGGATATTGCATGCAGTCTGCTTTTAAATTTTCCAAGTTATGAGTGAGGAGACAAGAAATGCACAATGTGCTGGAAGAGACCTGTGATCAGATGGACCACTAGCCCAGGTCGCATCAGAATACACCTGAAGCTCCAAAAGGTTAGTGAGGAAAAATAAATGATGAGAGATGGTGGCTCACAAATTACAAGGACGTGGAGAAGATGACTGTGGATAGTGAAGTTGAGTAGAACACATGAATTAACTATAAATGAATGATTAGGAGGATGCTGATATCTTTCTATGAATTAACAGAACATGTAGTACAATCATGTAGTCCTTCATTTTCCACGAGCACACAGCAATATAGATTTTAATATAACATTTATCCAACACCACTCTTGTTTTGGTAACAAATGCAGAGGAATCTCATGGACTTGATTGGAGGGAGCGCTACAAAATTATTAAGGGGATTTGCTGTGGTTTGTATTACCTTCACAATGAATGCCAAATTGATGGTTCTGTTATCCACTTGGACCTGAAACCTGCGAACATATTGCTCGATGATAATATGGTGCCAAAAATTGCTGATTTTGGTCTAGCAAAACTCCTTGATGATAGAAAAACACATGCTTGTGCTACTACATTGATGGGATCACGGTAAGTTCACTGCCTCTTGGTAATCTATTTCCTTTAATGTTTAGCAAAATGGATTTTCTATGCTGTTCTCTTTAACACTTTGAAATCCAAACACTTATGTTGTGATACAGTTATTACATGGCTCCGGAGTACATTTGGCAAGGCGTTGTCTCAAGGCAGGCAGACATATACAGTTTGGGTGTAATAATCATAGAGATCATAACGGGGCACAAGGTCAACCCTCTTGATAATGTATCCTCGTGCCAAGACTTCGTTGAACTTGTAAGAAATTGTGTTTAAACATTCTAGATGGTGCTATTTTTTTGGGTTTATTATACATTTTAGCTTTGCATAGTGTAGACCTCACAGGTCTAATTTTGCAGGCAGTAAAAAAATGGAGAAACAGGTTGGAAGCAGCGCCATCAGAAACAGATTGCAAACAAATAAAAAGGTGCCTTGAAATAGGTCTAAGCTGCATCAAAGTTCAACGAAATGAAAGGCCTACAATAAAGCAAATTATGAAAATGCTTGGTATATGGGAAAGCATAGTCGATTGCTATGACAGGCAAGAGGAAATGACACCTGCATGCCTGGAGGTATTATCACAGAGGCATCATCGATTTGCATGAGTTTGTTTTACGAGAATATATATTGGAACATATATTTGTTCTTGATTTCTCGATAGTGGTTTCAGATATCCCCTGAAAGAGGATCGAGCATTATATTTCTTTTCAAAGACTTGTAGTTATCATTTTCTTAAAAAATATTTTGTAGTTATAAAACTAAAGTGCTGCACAAACACAAATACCAAAATCTGTTATTGCTGTCAAGTAAGTTGGCCATTGGACCTTCTATACATTTTTATTTGGTCTTAAGATCTATAACAAGTTTGTGACTACCTATTTCAGTCATAGTCCCATTAGTTTGTCCTATCCCTTCTCAACTTAAATCTTAGACTGGAAAGTTTCGAAATTATCTGCTAAAATTGAAATGTGCTGTAAACTATGACTGGTGTTTCCCTAGACTTGAATTTATATGTATAATGCATGTGCATTATTTTTTCCTATCAATGTTCTAGGTTGCATCATTTGATATTGGGCAAGCATAATTGTGCTGTAAGATACTACTATATATTTCCCTAGACTTGAATTTTTGTATGTGGTTGCTCATGTCATGCATTCATTTAGGAGTGTATGCTAGTTGTGCACAATTTGGTTTTGGGCATGCATAAATGTGCAAGACACCTGTAGTTTAAATGCATAAAAATATACACTAATTTAACCATATAATATATATATATGATGATGATGATGATGATGATGATGAAAATAAATGTTTCCAATCTAAACTACTTGAATTTAGGCCAGAAAAGGAAAAGCTAAGAACTAAGTATCAGATGTTTCTTTGGATATTTGAAAAATATACACTGATTCAACGACATGATGGATATGCAGGAGCTGGACTTCACGGAGCCGCCATGGGACGAGTCTGAAAGCTTTCATTTGCGCAAGTACCCAGCCTATGAGATCGATTGGGACGCCCTCCTCAATAACTGAAATTACTATAGCAGTGCCAAGCCACCAATCGCTTGCAGCTGATGCCTGCGGTTGTGGTCTAGGTTGTTTGTGGTCGAGGTTGGTTGTGCTCTAGGTTCGTCAATGATACGAGGACGAAAGCTTTGTGTTGCGCACGACACTTTTTTTTTTAAGTTGCAAATGAGCATTGATCTCCTCAGATGGTGAGGAGGTGAATGATTCTGAAACTAGTTGGTTCAATTCATCAACGAGACTATAAACCTAAATTAGTTCTCTATCTAATCATGCTTTACATATTTGTCTAGCGGGGCGCTCTTTCTCTAATGTAACAAAGTTTTCCAACAAGGCCTTAGCAGGCCAGCCTACTGACGTTAGTGGTGTGTGCAAGCAGGGGAGAATGATGCCACGCTCCACGTTGATCGTACAAATGGGCGAGCATGAGCTTGGTGTCACCAACGCATACCCAAACCCGAGGACACTTCCAGGAGTCGCGTCATCACGAAGAAGGCGACGTCGAAGCGGCAGTCGAGCCAAGGGCAGGATCTCATGCACAATGGGCCAACATCCGCATTAGTGGGCCAGGATGGCTATGGTCCGTATTAGGGCATTAGGCCCATGTAACAGGCATCGTGAGGCCCAAGCCGGTCTCTTATATACCCTAAATCCTAAATCAAGACGTTTTTTGATAACTACCTAAACCAAGACATTTTTTTTGAGGTCAACATCGGGGAGTAAGATCTCCCCACCTGAATTTTCATTCCACAGATGCCGGGTTAGCCGGGGGTGGAAGGGCTTTGGCGCCAATCCAAATTACAGAGAGTTCAAAGAGGGGAGGAGGGAGATAACCACATCCAACACCAACAGCAACACAACACAACAACAATAACAACATGATTTACCTACCAGCTCAACCTACTAACCAAAGCAAATACAAACGCTACTTCCTAGCATGTGCCACCAACAATGACGGACTCCGAAGAACTCTAAACCACATGCAACTGTAAGGTACTGAGTCGAATCCGACAGGCGACAGCTAGGAAGTTGTATGACATTGAGTCGGAGCCAACAGGCGACAGCCGTAAGTTGTATTGCCTATGAGTGCATCTGGGATCCAAGCGACGCCCACCAATGCCATCTGGGGGAAGGAAGCCTCAAAGGGGGAGGACCGTCAGGAGGAGAACGAGGAGATCTAGAGAAGAGATCAAGGTCCCCGCAACCCAGCAGATGATGAGGCGAAGCACTCAAGTGTGTAGAGGAGAGCGAGCCGTTGAGGACGAGCACCTGACAGAAAGCGGTGTGTGCAAAGGCCAAAGGATAGGAGGGTAGACAAACCAAAACAAGAAGGGGTGAGAGATCAGCCACGGAGAGCTCAAGGACGCTCTGTCATGTAGGCCTACTTGCATTGATGCCTTCAAGAAGGGAAGTGACTAGACCTAAGCATTTTGTGGGCTGGGCTAGAAAAAGCCCGATTATTTCGGGCCAAAAAAACCCCACTCATGACCATCCCACTAGGCAGGTCAGGCCTATTTTTTCGGTCCGGGCCCGGGCCTGGGTGGGTTGCCCGCACATTTTATAGTATAAAATAGCAAAAAATAGTGTTTCGGTCCGGGCTCGGGCCAAGAAAAATCTTCAACGACGCCTCCAGGGGGCATATGATGCCTTTTTCTTCAACGACGCCTCCAGGGGGCATATGATGCCATTGCGTCACCGTCGTGGCCTGAGGCAACAGCCAGGCAGGGTTTTCACCCAGATTTCACACCGCTGCGAATACCACGCCGAACGCGGCAAGCCGAGCATGCCACCAGCAGCAGATCCCGCAGCAACAAGCCATCCTGAAGCACATCAGACAGGCCCGGGATTTGCCGTCTGCGTCCTGTTCTGCTCAATCGTGGCCACGAGCACGTCCGATGTCGCTGCAGCTGTTGACGCCGACGCCAGCGCCGCGGTGCCTGCACCCTACGGTGACATGACCCGTGAGGTCCGTCAGGGCGGAGTGCAGCCACCGCAGCGCCTCAGAGGGCCATCGTCAGCGCAGCGCTTCTGCCACTCCTGCCACCAGCGAGGCGCCCCTGCTGCTGCGGGCCGTGGCGCGCGGCGCAGAGCGCGAGGACGCGGCTAGCCGTGACGTGTAGCATGACGAGGCGCCTTGCTGGGGGACGCGTCCAGGGGCAGGCCGCTTGGGGCTCGGAGTCGGTCCCCAGTCGGTTGCCTAAAGCAGATCGACGCGCCCATGGTGACCCCGGCCGTCACCGCCGCGGGAGAGGAGATGGAGCCTCAGCTGGCGAAGCGCACTTGGGCGTGGCCTACCACGGCCGCACCACCGCCATCGCTCGAGGGGCCGGGGCACGAGCAGCATGGGGTCCAAGAGCGCCGCTTCCACTTCCGCGCCGCTCGCCTCCGCCGGCCGCCGCGCCCGCCCCACGGCTCGCCCGCTGTCCATGGAGGCGCCGGGCGGGACGCGAGACGCCAGATCCGCGTCCGCCGCGCTCGCCAGATCCGCCCGCCGGCCGCCGCCACGGCTATAGGAGACGACCGCGCGCATCAGGCCGCGCTCGTGCCGGGGCGGACGCCGCCAGAGGTACCGTCGCAGGAGGGCACGCTGTCGTTCAAGCGGGCCACCGCCAGCGACGAGTAGGACAAGGCCGACGGGCACGCCGGCGGCATGCCGACGCCTCCAGCTGCAGCCCCAGCAGATCTTGGTGGGGAGACACCGGATCCGGACTGGGAGGTCACGGATCTGGCTTCTTTCCTGCTCTCCGGCCGCCAATGGAGCAAACGTACAAACTAGCAGGTTAGGGAAGAGGAGACCTGGTGAGGAGGAGGAGAGGTATTTGCGGGAGCAGCCTTTTTGAGCCCTTGACCGCGGGCCGCCGCCGCCACTCGCGGACGAGCAGCAGTGGCGGCCGGGGAGGTCTCGCACGGGGGCCCTCTGGCGGCGGGCGGTATCGCCCCCGAGTCGCCCCTGAGGGAGACGACGCGGGGGGAGCGGAGCCTGACCCGACGTTGAACTCGATCTAGACTCCTGAACCGAGCGCGCCGGTGTTGGCGGCGAGCACGACGAATCGCCGGTGACTTGAGAACGTGAGTTCCACCGTACCTGAGTGTGTGTTAATCAAATCGTAGTACGGTAGCAACTGATATCACGTCGATCCAGATGTCGGACTAAAGGGAGGAGAGAGAAGGAGAGGGGTTGAATAGTTATTTTTAAATTTAATTACGTGGGCTAACTAAAATAAATGCAGAATTAAACTAATTGATCTAGCCAATGCTACACCTCTCTATTTATGTCGTAAGCACCTTGTAAAAGATCCTAATTGAAGCAACTAACGTGATCAGCTAGTAAGAGCTCACCTACACAATTCTAGTGGACAAGGTCACATAAACCTATGTAACTAGTTAAGAAACAAAATGACGGAACCTACACATACCAGTGAGCACAAGCATAAAACAAGAAACACGCTGGCATTACACTAGCTCTACTCAACTAGTTAGACTATTAAAGCATAACTAGAGAGCAGCTAGTTAACTACACAAGCTACACTAGCCACACAAGAGCAACGACTACGACACCAGCACAAGTAATAAAACAAGTTAGGGATTTGCAAACCAACATAAAGATAATGATGACATGATGATTTTTATCCTGAGATTCCCGTTGAGGCAAGCCCAACGTTGCCACCGATCCTCTTGCTAGAAGCATGCCCGCGCAAGCTTGGACTCATTCCTCTAGGTGTGCTAGTAATAACCATGACATGATGATTTTTCAGTTTCCTTGATGCTTGTTATTTACAAAATGCATGCCTACAATCTCAGATTGGACCGAGCCCCTTGCCACGCCGTGCACGTGCACACATCCGCTTTTGCCACGATGTGCACCGCGTACAAGAGCGCTTGCCGTGCATGTCTGGGCATCCACTTTTGTTTGGCGCTGGACGCTTGGGCCAGCGGGAGGATTAGGCGTGTAGAATTTTTTCCTTGTAATATTTCTGTGTGTGAGGGAAAAACCAACAGAAAAAATGTCACCGACAGAAAAACAAAGAATTTCTCTGTGAGTATTATTATACTGACACAGAAGCATGGTTACCTGTCGGTAGGTAAACCACACACTGAAATAAATATTTTTTTCTGTCGGTCTCATAAATTTTTTTTTGTCGATTTTAAGCACCTGACAGGCAGCCTGTTCGGTTGGCTGGTTCGTATCGTTTCTGGTTTGTTTATGTAAGAGAGAAATACTGTTGGCTGGTTCAGATAAACAGTATTTTTGTGAGGGGGCTGGCCAGCCCGGCCCCAGCCAACCAGCCCAGCGAACATGGCGAGGATAATAGATATTCTTCTGTCGGGGAAGTAGTGAAACAAGCCCTTAGTACTGAGTCTCAAATTTGGATGTAAACACATATATTGTTCCTAATGCGAAGATACACGTAGACATTGTTTATTTCTACGGTGACATACAATAAATTGTTCAATTCCCCTTATTATATACTCAACCGCAACATTTACAACATAAACTTCAGTTTGTGACTTTATTACAGTGCAGAGAAATTCACGTAGGTACTTCTACAAGGCTTATTGGCGGTGGAATAGAACACGTGCTGGTGAGCGCGGAGCTTGCCACGTCGGACGCGCGGTTGCTCACATGACGTAGACGTCGAGCTCGAGCACGGCATTGGGGTGGTCGAGGCTGACAGTCTTCCACAGCACGTACCCGCGCGCCATCCTGAACTGCCCCGTGCCGCCGACCACCGACAGCTCCCTGACTGACGCGCCGATGTCGTCGCGCCCCACCACGGTGACGGAGCTGCCGGCGTAGGGGCCGGAGGTCAGCACCACGTTCATGGTCACCAGCAGCTCCGGGTTCCCCGTGGACGCCCAGATGTAGTGGCCCTGCGCCCGCCCCACCATCGAAGACGACCGCGACTCGCTCGCCGTCAGCACGTCGTCGATCACGATCGTGTCGCCGAAGTGGCCCCGGGGCCCGTTCAGCACCTGCACCGCCGTCGGCGCCGACCCAGTAAGCACGTCGTGCATGTAGAAGTGCAGGTGCGCGGCCGCTGAGACGGGCCGCGAGGCCGGGCCGACGGTTAGCACGACGGCGACGGCGAGCAGTGCGGAGTAGAGCTTGCAGGAAGCCATGGCAAGGTAGATGGTGTGTGCGCGGGAGTGTGTGTCTGTGGATGCTCTAGCTAGTGAACGAGCGTATGCTTATATAGACAGTAGCAGCAGAGCAGGTGCCAGGTAGAGTGAAAAATATCTCAGCCAGTGACCTCCTGCTGCTGGTGCTGATTTTTATTCTTAATAAAAACACCAACCTTGTTGAGCACCTAGCTAATTAGCAAACTCATAAAAATAGTTCTCATGGCGTTTCCATTTTTCCCATCTACAATGGCGGATCCAGGAACAAGTGAAGAGAGATAATAGAGGCTATTGTAAACTAATAGATATAATAAATGACTACATCAATTCAAAGTACAAACAACACGTAGGAGGATAGAAAAATACTAAATAAAGATCATCCGATAATCAAAAGATGGTATATGTCTTCACAATTTTACACCACTTTAGCCATTGTCCTCAATTCTACATAAATTAGAAATGTCATAGTTCTTCGCAAATCAAGATAACATTATCAATTGAAATCAACGAGTACAATATGCACCATTCATTCCTCTTGGGCCCTCACGTGGTCTTTTTTTTTTCTCAACCCAGCTCTCTTCAGTTCTAGTGCTACTATTCGACACATCTTTCTCACTAAAATATCTTTCCATCTCCTATGCTCTATGATATATATATATATATGATATCTTTAAAATTGCAATCACCACCCGGATCTCACGTGCACTTTCAAAGATGGCCAAAGGAGGGTGAGCTCCACGCGGGCTCCGCGGTGGCCTGAGTAGGGCGATCCCGCACAAGCTCCGCGACAGCTGGAGGAGGGCAGGCCCCGCACGCCTCCGCCGGAGGAGCTGCACGCCACTTCTTGAGGGGCCGGGCTTCGAGAGAGAGAGAGGGAGGGACTTGTGTGGCTGAGAGGGAGAGGAAAATGAAGGAGTCGGCTGTTGTGGAGCTTATATATTCTACGGTTTTCTATGTGGGCTGAGTTAGACCGGTGGACTTACCACAATTAATAGAGGCGGGCCTCTTATAGGGCCCGCTTCTGAAAATGGCCTCTATTTCCAGAGATTCACCGCTTAGGAGGCCGACCTCTGTTTATTGATTTATAGAGGCGAACATTTATTTAGTGCCTCCTAAAATTTGTTCGTCTCCGAAAATCACTACAAATTTTAGGAGACATGCAGGCTTTGTGCCTGCTTTTGTTAATCCAGAGTCTTATCTCCTAAAATTGTTTTTGTAGTAGTGAATAGGATGGGCTGCAGAAGGTGCAAGGCGGGCGGGGTCGGCCATGGTGGTCGGTGGTGGCGAATCTTTTGCTGCCTTGTGGATCGGTTGAGCATACGGGGCTACGTGTTGGACTGTCAGTAGGGTCTTGACGGGCAGGATTGAAGACTTATTCCTAAGAAAATTGGGGCGCGTCCGGGCTTCGGCCCTTCAAGCCCAGTCCTATGTCCACTACCCATCTATCATTTACGCTTCTATCTCACATTTGTCTCTGAAAATCGACCCAAGTTTCCTCACCTTTGCAAATATATCTCAGGATCAAGTTCCTCTAAAAAAATTAACAAATATTAAATATCTTTATAAAAACTAAATTCAAATTTTGTTCAATAGTTTTTATTTATTGCAAATTTTCTTCATGTCGGTACTATGGTGACATAATATTTTCCGTGCTTGTCATCTTTCCGAAGCGACTCCCTTGCAGGTTATCTTCTTAATTATCCAATGGCTTCATATCTGGGCTATACTACAGAGGCCGACTACCCAGGATTTGGTTGTGGTGTTTTGTCTATAATTGGCGTAGGAGGTCAAGAAATGTTTATTCCAGATATATACATGGGTGGTGATCTACTCTGCGGATTGATTAGTAATAGCTAGGGTGTTTTGTACCTTCTTCTAAACTTTGTAGGTTGTGTGCACCCTGATATGCAGAGGTCAGGAATGCTTCTAAGATGATTGTATGAGCTCGATGTAATGATTTTGAAACATAATAAAAACTTATTTATCAAAAAAATCTTTTCGAGGCGAAAAAAAATCTTTGCATTGGCTCTCTTCAATCTGAAATAATTGAAAGTGACAGATGGAAATGTGCATGGTTTTTTCGGTAATTACATAAATAGACCCATCCAGTGTGCAGACAAGAGAACAAAGAGACTGTTGACGAGTCGTCTTCTGAACGCAGTGGATGCCTCTTTCCTGTACCACTGTTTGTCCATGGTCCCGAGACTGAGTGTCGGTTCTTTGCATGCTGCCGGTGCTTGATACATCCATGAACAATGACCTATCTGTTATTTTTTTCTTGCATTGCGCTATCTGTGACTATCCATGAGTAGTGACCATTTGTATTTTGGGATACCGGCAAGATTGATTTGATTATTTGCAGCAGCTTCTAGGCCGGTTTCCAGATAGATTTGCCTTTTCGTTGACATGCCATGGGACCGTGGCAGTACTGGACTCAGCTCCGTGTTCATCTTCAACAGCGGCGAGTTGATTGTGCAGCAGATAATACTTCTACTAATAGCTAACTAAGTATTAGTTAGTTTCTAGCAGGAAAACGTGGTGGCACATGTACTTCTTATTTCTGGTTGATATTGCAAAAAGAATTATCTCCATTGGATAACGATTAATAATGCATTTCAAGAAGGTCGTTCACAAGTCACAATAATGTCGTGAATGTGCACCACCATAAGCATGATGTGGTCTGAATGACAGGTCAATCATGGCTCTACCGGACGATCTTATAGGCACATGATCAGTGGACGTTGTTTTTCCATAATTAAATATTCCGTACATCTCGAATGGGGCCTCCAGTTGGTGGCTTAACTTGTGAGAGAAACTTTGATATTTTTTCTTTATTTTTACTGGAACAGTCTATATAGTTTCTGAGGGAGCAAACCTGTACACAGATACATTTTACCAAAGTGAATTCGATTTTAAACAAAACTGCATAAATCATAAGAAGGTAGTTGTCGATCCAAGTATCCTATTAATGGAGAATCGGAGTGGCAGACACTTATTAATGTGGAATGAGCGCAATCTGTTCATCTTTAATAAGCACAGTTTAGAAGAAACGGATGCCTCTCCTGTCCAAAATACAGTTGAACTAACAGGATTACGACCTCTTCATTCCATCCGTTGTAAAAACTCTATCCTATATATTGAGCATCAGGATGCTTTTATTCGGATCGGAGCTCTGAAGTTGGCTTATGTGATCAGCATTGGCTGGGGGTGGTGATGGTGGCGTAGGCGCTGGTGGAGAGGAGGCTGGCGGCTAGGGCAAAGGAGGGTCAGCGCAGAGAGTTCGAGAGGAGGGGTGGAGGGGGAGGCACAGGGATAGCGATAGAGGGGAGAGCAATGCTTTATTCTATATCTATATTTATACCTAACAATAAAGCGGTAAAATTTCTCCTCATTTTTTTTGGTATGGCCTATCCTAACTGACTTCGTGAATGTGAAAACTGTCTCTCTTATTTGTCTACGACCCTCCTATATTTTGTATATGACATATTTCGGGCTTGTTAACTAACTTAGATATAGCCAAGAATCTTAATCCTAATCCAAATGGATTCTTCGGATCTAACAAATTTGTATGCACCAATATATCTATATTCGGTTCTACGACCCTCCTATATTTTATATATGACATATGCCGGGCTTGTTAACTAACTTGGATAGCTAGGAATCATAATCCTAATCTAAATAGATTCTTTGGATCTAACAAATTTGTATGCACCTATATATCTATATTCGGTTCTTTTTTTCTCTTTTCTATTTTCTGTCGTCCGTCTGATGTCCGTTTCGTTTTTTCCTATGTCCGTTCGGATGGCTGCTCAGCCTTTTTTTTTCCTGGTTTCGGTCGTTTGTGTTAATTTTCTCTCTTTTTATTTCCTGTTTTTTCTTTGTCTATCCCTATTCTGTTTGTGTCCACGTATCCCTCCCGCACTATTTTCTCTCTATAAACATGGCATAGCTCCGTCCTCCATTACAGGAGCCACAGCCGAGTCCGTCACCACCTCCAGAGTTGGCGTTCAAAACTAATCCAATCCAAACGTAGAGGAGAAGAGTCACAACCGAGTTCGTCACATCTAGAGTTTGCATTCAAAACTAATTCCAATCCAAACGTAGAGGATGACTGAGAAGGAATAAACATCCAAAATCGAACAAACAAAAGCAACACAGATCACATCTATACGCAAATTTTTCCGGATCGAACCCAACAAGAATAGAAAGTCACGTCTATCGATGATGAATAGAAAGTCTGATTCCAATACGTATTTGGCTTGGCTCATATCAGTTAGAATAGCTCGCATCTAGCGATAGTATAGAGTCCGATTCCTACACGTATTGAGTTCCGTTGCAATGCACAGGCACGTTTACTAGTCTTTGCTTAAGATCGAAACGATTATATGACCCATATATTTGTAGTCTCTAAAGGACTAGAGTCCCAAGCAAACTAGAGCTAGAGTCTTTATAGATTTGCTCTCCTTTCAAACAAATCAATAGTCCTTTCCTAAACAAACATTATTTCTTTTCATTCTCATCATCCTTATCTAAATCTGTCTCTAATTGCCCCCTATTCTAGACTCCGGGTGGGAGGGGCCGTCGGCTCTGAGGAGGCCCCCCATTGGTCACACGCGTTGCTGTTGGCACCTTGGGCAGTTGGGCTAGGTGCGGCCCACCAAGGCCCTTCTCGAGGCCTCGCTCTGCCCGCAACCGGGCCTGTAGATCGGCCCGTGACCGCTTAGTTTTCGGTCAATCAACCTTAATAATCGAAAATTGTATGGAGCTATACAACTATATGTATCTTGTTCCCCGGCTTATTAAAATTAGAGAAAAAAGAAGAAACATAAAAAAGAGAGGAAAGATATATGACCTATTTGGCACAGCTCACAACAGCTTCATGAGTTACTATGAACTATTTTTTTTTTGCCAAACACTCATTTCTAAAACAGTTTCATGGGTGAAGGTGCTTTTCTTCTCCTCTCACAAAGAGCTGAGTTGGGATGAAGCTGAAAAAAGTA